TTCCATGCACACGCGTGAGGGTCTGTGTGCCCGGCGTGAATACCGGCAGCCCATGGTGCGAACCCAGCAGACACCAATTAGCCTGAAGTGTTTGAAGCCAAGGTGCTGGCAGCCCCGCCCCCCCCCACCACCAGCGAAGTCCCCGGCCCTGGGCCAGAGCACACAGGCCACACGCAAGCCGGGCAGCCCAGGCTGGTGTCCAGCCCTGAAGCTGGGAACATGGAGAATCGAGAAGCTGCTTCCACCCAGCACGGCAGAGGTGACGGGGGAGTGAGAAGCCGAGCTGGGGTCGCCTGGGCCTCAGGCCTCTCTGCAAACCCGGCGGCCACCCGTCTGGCCCTCGCTGCCCATCTGTGAGTGCTGGCCCGCGCCTGAAACTCTAGCCGTGTGAAACCCGAGCCCTCGCAGCCTCGGGCCCTCCACATTGGCAGCTGCGCTGCTCAGCAGCTGTGCAGGGACCCCAGGCGCCCTGCCCGCCAAGTCAGGGTCCCCCGCCCAGACAAGCATGGCTGTCAGGATGGCAGGGAGGGGGCGCCGGTGCCCCAAAGCGGAGAGTCGGCCCTCTGTGAGAATGGAAATGTACTCCCAGACGCCGGTGGCCTGAGGGTCAGCTGCTGCTGAGGGTTTTCCTGGACACGGCACAGACATACTGACCCATGAGCAAACACACCAGGCCCAGGCCCGCTCCAGGCCCAGCACTCCGGGAGCCCTCCCCCTCCAACGCCCTGCTGCCCACAGGCCGGGTCCTCCAGGCGGGCACCACGGACTTGCCTATGGGAGGAAACAGACTCAGAGAAGAGGGCAGGCTGCTGAGGTCAGGGGCGGGTGGACATGCTAGAACACGGTGTCTCCAGGGGTACCAGTGGGCTTGGGGGGCCTTGAGCCTCTCAGACCTGACATTGCCTGTATCAGAGTTGGAGGCCCAGAGGAATGGGGTGCCTTTGATGCCTCCCCCTGGTCACCCAGGCACGCTCCCTTCCAAGAGGCTGGGGGAGCGGTGCCGGCCCAGCGCCACGGCCGGCCGGCTTCGGTCAACTCCCCTGTGGGTGGCGGACGCAGACGCAGTGCTAAGTGCTCGCACCTGCAGCTGCCTGCGGCCCCCCGCCCCCTCCCCGGGCCCCGCCAGCCTGTCCGTGCCGCCCCATCTAGCTGGAGTCTGCTGTCCCTGTGGTCACAGCTGCCCTGACGAGCAGGTGGGTCCCAGAGAGCCCAGCCGGGCAGCAGGTACACAGGGCGCCGCCTTGCGTGCTGGCTGGGGACCTGGCCGCAGCAGCCGTGTCTCACCTGCAAAGTGGGCAGCAGCAGGTGAGCTGGGACCGAGGGTCATCAGGCTGCCGCTCGGGGTGGGCACTTTTTTTAAGGGACATGTGCACGGAGGCGGGCGGTGCTAGAGCCACAGGGGCCACTCCGGTGTAATTCTGTGGACCAGACTAGCCCGGAGCAGCCGAGGCATCCCTCCGAGACCACCGCGCCCCGCCCACAAGAGAGTGTGTCCCCACTCCGCGTGCCCAAGGAAGCTGCGGCCGGTCCCGGGGGGCTCTCGTAAGCCAGCGTGCAGCCTTGTTTGCTTTATTCCACAGGAGCCAGCGAATGCGGCCAGAGCACCCCTGTCCTCGGGTCCAAAATCCACAGCAAGGCTCCCCGGGCGCAGGGCTTAGAGAGCACGTCCCAGTCACGTGCCTCAAGCAGATGTCACTGTCGCAGAGTCAACCACCCCGGGGTCCAGGGCCGTGCAGCGGCAGAGCCTTGATCTGAGCGGTCGGCCTGCAGCGCTGAAAGGCGCCTTTAGGGTCGGACGAGGTGGTCTCCGGACTCCCTTCCAGCCCTTCCCTCCAGAGCGAGAATGTCTGCGGCCCCACTGCAGGGGCCTCGCAGACCCGCCCGCTGGGGAGACCCAAGCCCTTGGCACCATCCCCACAGCCCCATCCCGCAGGCGGAGGCGCCTGGAAGCGCGGCCGCTGGGGCCCGGCACTCCGAGCTTCGGTCCGAGGGCACGGGAGACCCGGCTTCTCCTCCCACCTGGCCCAGAGCTCCAGTGCCGTCAGGAAGAAGCGCCACCCGAGAGGGAGAAAGCGTCTTCACCCCGTGCCCCCACGGCGGGCACTGGTTTCCCGCAAGTCTGCGGAAGACCGAGGACTCCTGAAGCCACGTTGGGGGGACACGCACCACACGGCAGCGCACATGCAGCCACGCCACCAGGCTGGCCAGCTCGGACGCAGGCCCAGGGCTCTGGCCTCTGGCTGCCCCTGCACACGGCTGCCAGTCACCTCCCTCTCGTCGGCCTTGCCCTGAGCCGGGGAGTTTTCTCCTGCCAGCCCTAAAGGTGTCGCCCGGCCACTGCCCCTGGGCCCGCGGGCAGGTACTTACTACACTGACTTGGTCCAAACGTGCCGTGTGACCTGTTAGGGGCTGAACGGGTCGCCCCATGAGACACACTGAAGCCTGACCCCGGCCTTCGGCGTTCGGCGGGTTTGGGCTGACATCGGCTCCGATGAGGTCATACCAGGGAGGGCGGCCGGATCCTCCGAGACGGGCGTCCTCAGCAAGGGGTGATTCGGACCCAGAAGGGGGAGCCACGGGAACGCGTGTCCCGCAGCCACAAGCCATGGGGCCACCGGAACCAGATGAGGCTGGGACAACCCCCACCTCCCCGGCCCGGCGCGGGACTCTGCGGCGGTGGCCTCAGGAGCCCAGGCTGACCCCGGGCGGCAGTGGGGCGCCCAGGACAGGGGAGCCTCGGCTGGCCCGGCGCCACACAACAGCGCTCAGCAGCCCGGCCTCCTCACGGGTCCCCGCGCGCCCTGCCGCGCTGCCAGAGAGAGGACTGGCCTGAGTTTCGCCGGGAATCAAGCGCCTTCGTCTGCTGCGGCCCCAAGCAAACGGAGGGCGCAGCTCACACTCCCGCCGCCGGAAAGCCACTTTCCCAGCCTCGGAGCAAACGCCCAAACCCCAAGCACATCCCCCGACCCAATCCAGCAGCCGGTACCGCCCTCGGCAGCGGCAGCGCACGTGGAAGGGCCCTGGCTCTGGCGTCCTGTTCCCATCCCCGTCGTGGGAGCAGCCCAGCAGGCCGCGAGGACGTGCAGAGAGGCCGGGGCCCTCTGAGCGCCCACCCCCCCCCCCATCAGGAAACGCCCCCCTGGCGAGGAGCAGGCGTCTTCTCCACGGTGACGTGACGGCCCTTCCCTGCCTGACCTGGGGCTCCCAGCGGCAGCTCTGGACGGGATGCAGACACATCTCCCCGATGAGGCACACGGGAAGCCTGGGTGTCCCCCGTGAGCTGAGCGCAAGGTCTCGCCCCCCGATGGCTGCAAGTGGGCGCAGCGCGGGCACCCAGGCCCGTCAGGCAGTGTTGGGAGAGCAGGGCCAGGTCCCTTCTGCTCCATGTGAACATCCAGTTCCCAAAGGTTCCTTCCAGGGACACGCCTCCCCGGATGGACACCCCTTCACGTGGGGGGGGGGTGCATGTGGCCACAGACACCAGAAAGGCCACAGCAGCCACGGCAGGAAGAGGCCCGGGGGGCCCCCGAGGCCCGCGTGTCCAGGCAGAGCAGAGCTAATGTTTCACTCCCCAAACCCACCTTTGACCCAGAGCGTCGGCGCTCCGGCTGCAACTTGCTGGTCAGTGAGGTGCCGCCCTGGAGCTGCCAGTGCGCGGCCCGCCGGGCCCGGGCAAGTGCGGGCCCAGGGAGCCCCCAGACCACGGTTTCGACCGTGCCAGGCAGCCGCGGCGTGGCCTCCCCAAGCTCGACATTGCTCGGTGTCGTCTCAGAGGTGAACGGAAAGCTACGGCGTCCGAGAAAACCGCCCACCACGTAAAGGGAAAGGATCGCGGCGCCTGCCCCTCCATCCTACCGCAGCCGGGTGCCAGGGAAGACACTGGCGCGACCGCCGGCCCTGGCAGCGTGGCCCCGGCCTGGCTCAGGACGGAGCATCACCTCTAGCCGTCTGGGCAAACGTGGCCGCTCTCACGGAGGCCCGCCGCCGCCACACCACGGGCTCGGGGACGGGTCTGCCCCAGTCACCGCTCCGGGTGGTCAGGTGTGCGCCGGGCGACACCGGCCGGAGCCGCAGACACTCACGGCAGGGAAACGCGGCCACGCGCCGCCTCCTGCGTGGGCCAGGGCGGGAGCTGCAGGACGGCCCCTCGCGGAGGCGCCTGCCCACGGGGTTTTAATTAGCAAACTGCGGTCCAGGGCTGGCCAGCACCCTGGGGGAACCCGCGTTCCCTGCTCCCGCACTCACTCGGCCTCGCGGTGACCTTCGGGCGAGGCCGGCGGGGCTCAGAGGCCGAGAAGGTCGCGGCAGGTTCTGCGCCCCGGGAGGTCCCCGCCCCTCCCCGGGCCAGGCCGGCGCCGCGGCCACAGCGGTCAGGGCCCCGGTCAGGGCCGCGCGCGCGGGGGGGGGGGGCGCGGGGTCGCCGGGAGAGAGTCGGGGCGTCGGGCGGGGTCGCGGGGAGAGAGTCGGGAGTCGGGCGGGGCCCCGCTGGGGGCGCGGGCTGGCCCGGGCGGCCGGGCGCTCTGGGCGCGGGGAGCTGCCCCGCGGGGCCGCGCCGGGAGGGGTCCCCGGCCGGGCGCATCCTCAGCAATGCGGGGGCCCGCGGAGGGGGGGCCCCCGCGCGCCGCCGGCAGGCGACTCTGCCGAACAAAGCCCCGGCGGGGCTGCGCCCGCTGCGGAACCGGCGCTCGCTCGGGGCGCGGGTGCGGGGGGGCACCCCGCGCGGCGCCCCGGCCCCCCGCCCGCCCCGCCCGGCCGGCCCGGGGCGCACGGCCCCCGCCCCCTGCCCCCCGCGGCCCGCGGCCCGCCCCGCGCACAATGGCGCCCCGGCTCCCGCCACGGCCCGCGCGCCGCCAGCGCGCCCCCCGCGCCCGCCGCGCTCCCGGGTCCGCGCACAAAGGAGGGCGCGTGGGCTCCCCGGCCCCGCCGCCCGCGCCCCCCGCGCCCCCGCCGGCCGCCCCCGCCGGCCGCCCCCGCCGGCCGCCCCCGCCGGCCGCACTCACCCGCTCGATGGAGCCGGGCAGCAGGCGCTCGAGCAGCCGGCACAGCACCACGCCGTCGCGCAGGGCCGCGCGCAGGAAGCCCTCGGGGTCCGCCACGGTCTTCTTGGGCGACTCCAGCACCCCCAGCGTGATGAGCCACGTAACGGTCTGCTCGGCCGAATTCATCGCGGCGGCGCCGGTCCGCTCCGCGCAGGGCGCTCACCGCGCCGCGGCCCCGGCCCGGCCGCCCGCGCCCCCCGCGCCCCCCCGCCCCGCGCCCATGGGCGGCCGGCGCCGGCGATTGGCTCGGCGCGGCGCCGCGGTCCGGCCCGGCCCGGCGGCCCGCGCGCGTCCTGGCCGCTGTCGGCGCCGCTCGGCGGAGGCGCGGAGCCGCGGCCGCCCCGGCGCGCCCCGCCCCGGCCCCCGCCCCCGCCCCCGCCCGCGCCCGCGCCCGCGCGGGGACACGCCGCGTCGGGGCCCGCGCCCGGCCCGGCCCGGCCCGGCCCGGCCCGGCCCGCGCCGTGCGCCCCCGCCGCGCCCCGCGCCCCCCCGCGCCCCCGCGCGCCCCACCTGCGCCGCCCGGGGCGCCCCGGCCCCCGCCCGCGCGCGCGCGCCCCTGCTTTATCCCTCGGAGCCGCGAGCGAGCGGGCCTGGGCCGCTCCCCGGACGCTCGCCCCGCGCCCCGGCCGGGCCTCCAGGGGGAGGGGCCGCCGCGAACGCGCCCCGCGCGCCCCGCTCCCCGCTCCCGCGAGCCCGTAATTACGGAGCCGCACAAAGATAATTAAATCCGCAGCCCGTGGGGCCGCGCCCCGCGCCGCCCTGGGACCGAGCGCGCCGCTGCCGGGCGCCCCCCCAAGCCCCGGTGACCCCCCACCGCACCGGCGCGCCCCCCCCCCCGCCACGGCCCCCCCCCCCGCCACGGCCCGCCCCCGCACCCCGGAGGCCCCCTCCCGCGCCCAGGCGGCCACCCCCACAACCCCCCCCCCCCCCGCGCCCAAGCGGCCACCCCCACCCACCGCCCCCCAGGACTGGCGACTCCGCTGGAAGTTGCTGGCATCGTGGAGAGCGCGGGGAGCAAGGCCAAGGCCGGGGAGCCCCGCGGGCGGGCTGGGGGCCCGGTGCCCGGCAAAGGTGCTGGGCCCCTCGGACGGGAGGACCCGAGGGCAGCCTGGGGGCCCACCTGACCTCGGGGAGGAGGGAGGGGAGGCCCGTGCCCCTGCCTGGTGCCCGCAGGGCCGCGCAGACCTGCTGAGCCCGGCCGTCTGGTGACAAAGGCCAGACACCTGCAAGGGCTTCACCTCGAGGCTTCCTCTCCCCCTCCACCCCCCGCACCCCTCGGTGGTCACTGGTCGCTCATGTCCGCTGCCCCTGGGGGTGACGCCCGGCGCCCAGCTCAGCGCTGCCTCCTGGTAGGTCACGCGTCAAAGTCACAGCCTTGGAAGGGCCCTTCCCTGTCCCCTTCTCACTGGCCACGCGTGTCGCCGTGGACATGGACTCGCCCGGCTCTGACCTCGCCCACCGCAGACGCGGCAGGGGACAGACCCGGGAGCAGCTCCGGCGTCGGGGCCCAGGGTCTCTACCGAGAGCAGGGAGCCGGGCCAAGCTGTCGTCGGGTCCCCCCCCTGCAGCGGGCGGGAAGAAGGTGGCCGTAACCACAGTGAGTCCCGCCGGGTCGGGGCGCGGCCAGTGAACAGGAGCCTGATTCAAATGGACTGGACGGAAGGGTCTGCAGGAAGCCAGCCTCGGGAGTGGCCTCGGGTGCCCCTGCACGTGGCGGCCAGCTGTCGGAGGAGCCCAGGCCGTCCGCCGGAACTGGGCTTGGAAGCTTCCGGTGCCTTCTCTCCCCGGGATGCACCTTCATCTTCCGCACGACTTTGGAGGGCCCCAGGCCGTGCCAGCCTGCCCGGCGAGGTGTCAGTGGCGCTGTGCCCGCCTCCCTAGTGGGCATGAGCTCCGAGTCTCCTTGGCTGTGTCCAGGTCTCCACGCAGAGGTCAGCGGAGGAGCCCGGCGCGGGGTAGCCGCATGGAGACCCCTCAGACGCTGTCCCGAAGATGCGGTGCTGAGGACGCACCTGCAAGGGTGGCTGCCGCGCCCTCGCTTCTCACCAGCCCGCTCAGCCCCACTCCCCGCTCAGCCGTGGGCATGCCCGGCACACAGACCACAGGCCCACCACGGCCGGCGCTGGCTGGTCTGCGCTGAGGGAGTGCACAGGAGCTGGGAGGGGTCTTAGAGTGTTAGGGCCTGCGGCCCCCCGAGGCTGTGCTGGGCGGCACTGCCCGTGGCCTGGAGGCCGTGCCAGCACCGCCCTGGAGGGACGGAAGCAGCAGAGGCTCTAGGAAGCTCGCCGCGCCCACTGTGAACATTTTTTTTTCTTTATAGATTTATTTATTTATTCATACAAGCACTGGGTACAGTCAGAAGCACGGGAGGGCAAGAGAATTCACCAGAGCCAGAGCGGGGAGCAGAGCAGGCAGAAGGACCGAAGCACACTGCTGAGGGGAGCAGCGGGCGGCAGGAGAGGTCTGCGCGCCATGTGGGACCCTCCTCCGGTGGCCGGGGAGCAGCCGGGGATCAAACCAGCGCCTCAGAGGCTGCGGGCAGCTTTGCAACCCAGCGCTCAACCTCTGCGCCACCCGGGGAGGCCCTGAAGATACATTTTTTTTTTTGTACAAGAACCGGGGTACAGGCCAGAGATGCGGGGGGTGAGAGGATTCACTAGAGACAGTGAGGAACGGAACGGACAGATTGACCGAAGTACACTGCTGAGGGGAGCAGCGGGCGGCAGGAGGGGTCTGCGCGCCATGGGGGACCCTCCTCCGGTGGCCGGGGAGCAGCCGGGGATCGAACTGGTGCTGCAGAGGCTGCGGGCAGCTTCACCACCCAGAGCTCAGCCGCTGCGCCACCGGGAGGCCCCACTGTGAACATTTTATGGGCCTGGCCTAGTCGTTTGGAATGAATATGGCCAAAATGCTAAAAAGTAAAGAATCCAGGCAGGATAATTATCGTTTATAAACATAGGTGTCCAGGAAGCTGCTCCCGGCGGGAGCCATTTCACGCATACCGGCCGCGTGGGGCCGCACGCGCAGAGACACCCACCCCGGGTCCAGGGGAAGCAGCTGCTCAGCCAAGAGCCGGGGGCAGCTGGTATATCGGGGTGACCCCGAAGACAAAGGAGAGAGGGAGACTGTGCGGGGGAGGCCAGAGGCCTCTGAGAAGTGAGATGAGCGGGTCCCTGGGGGGCAGCGGGTTGAGCGCCGCACTGGGAAGCTGTCCGCAGCCTCAGCAGCACGAGTTCCATCCCGGCTGGCCAGGGAGCTGCCCACAGGGCACGGCAGACCCCTCCTGTCTCCCCGCTGCTCCCCTCAGCAGTGGATTTCAGTCCATCTGCCTGTTCTGCTCCCCACTCTGTCTCTGGGGAATCCTCTCACCACCCCACAACCCCCCCCCCCGGCCATCTGGCCTGAACCCCAGCTCTTGTATAAATAAATAACTAAATAAATCTTTAAAAAAAAAAAAAGAAGTGAGGGGAACGGGTCCCAGGGTCTCCCAAGTCCCCCGTCCACGCCCATGCCCTGACTGGTGGGCTCCCCCAGGACAGTGGCCTCCAGCTCAGCAGAGCACAACCCCAAGCGCCCCGGGAGCGGTGGTCGAGGCCGACGCTGTGTCCCCCTTCCCACCGTGAGTGCCTGGACGCTGCTCGTGAGATGCTGCCCCCTCACACGCACCCAGAAACCACAGGCTCCATGTGGAGGTGACCTCGTGAAAGGCAGGTCGCGCACCCCACAGAGGCCTCCCACGCCGCTTCCCGCGAGTGTCCAGCCCGAGGGTGAGTCTCGGCTTCCTGCAGGGCTCCTGGCGAACGCCTTAGGCTGCCCCCTGAGCTGGGCACTGCCCTCCCTGCAGGCAGGCTGCCCTCGGCCGGGCTCGGCTGACGGGGTCTGGGTGACCCCACGCTGTGGTTTCTCCCGCGCCGCCATCCCTGCCACCGTGACCCTGGGGCAGACGAGTGCCAGGCCGGGGCCATAGGCCAACCCCAGCGGCTCCCCTCAGCCACGCACGCCCCCTCGCTAGGCTGCCCTGTGCCTGCTCCCCCGTGCCTCCATGCGCCCCTGCCCCCCTCCAGGCGACGGCGCCAGCGCCAGCCAAGGAGCCTGCGGCGGGCAGCGGGGAGCTGGCCAGAGGAGGGTCCCGACTCCCTCTCTGTGTGGGAGCCAGGCGGCCCGCAGGCCTTTCGGGAAAAGCAGCAGCGGAGCCCGGCACACAGGAGCTGGGCACCGAGCCTGCGGCCCCACACGCAGCGGCCGGAGCCCGAGGCGCCGAGACCGCTGCTCCACTGCCTGTGAGGGCGGCGGCCACGGGGCGCGATTTAAGTCACTGCAGTGCCCGCCTCGTTCCAGGGAGAAAGGCCGCCCCACGAGCAGCGGGCTGGACTCGGCGCGGCTCAGAGGCCCGGCGCCGGGGGCGGGGGGAGCCCTGGGGACAGCCGCTGCTCTCGGGCTCTGCCCAAGGCGACCTCAGCTGGGCCAAGAAGCCCCACGGCCCCTCTCTGGTGGGCAGGCCTCGCCTGGCTCCAGGCGCCTGAGCAGGGAGGAAGGCGAGCAGGGCTGGAAGAAGGCCCGGGCAGGCCGAGGAGCACGCGGGGGCCGGGAACCCCAGGGCCAGCAGGACGAGCAGGGCTGCCCGCTGGCGGGGCGGGGAGGAGCACGATCATACTTCACGGCCACGCGGCGGACGTGGGAGGGAGGACAGTGCTGTTGCCAGGAAGGACCTAGGAGCCGGGGCAGCTTGGTGGAGGGTGTGAGGTACCCCCAGGGGCTCACCCCAGGTCTCCCCTGGGCCCACAGGACGAGGCCCGGGCCGGGCGGGCGGCTGGGAGGTGCTGAGAGGGTGGGGCCTCGTGCCCGCAGCGGCGCATCCGGGCCCTCCGGGGCTGAGGCAGTGTGGGGAGCCCACGGGACACGCAGGGGCACAGCTGCGAGACGGTGGGGCCCCACCGCCATTAACCCGCTGCCCTGCACCCCACGTCTGCAGGACGTGCTGACCTCACTGCAGCCAGCCTGGAAAGGACGCTGGTGGTGACACGCAGGTGACCTCTGTGAGGTGACAGGGACTCGCTGAGCTCCCAGAGATCACCTGGGCGGGCAGGACGACTGGCTCTGCCCAGGGAACTCGAGATACCACCTCACACCAATGAGAATCGCGCGTGTATTAAAAAAAAAACAGC